GAGCCCCAACCCCGGGCCTGGCTCCAGGGTGGGGCCCCGGCTGCGCCATGCCGGGCGACGTCACGGTCCTTGATTTTAATCTATTCATAAAGGGCTTTTGAACCACTCTTAGTCACCCAGGACCTGTTTGCCTTGGGAGACCCTACCAGGGACATATAGCCCCCGACAACATAGCTCCTAGGATCACTCGGCTACTCAAACCCCCCCACTACAATAAGGTGGCAGTTCAAGGAGGGGAATTAGTTTTATCAGTTCTAGTAAAATGCAGGCAGCTGACTGTCGGAGGTTCGGCTCAGCAAAGCTTTGTAAAAAACCATTCCTGAAAATCCTATTTACAGTTATTTCCAACTTGTTAATAATTTATGATTGACATATAGGCAAAGTGCTCAAGGGAGGGGTTGACAACAAATCCATTGCTGAAACAGTTGCCTGATTGATCAATCACTTGATTGCAAACAATTATTTTGAACTATTTTGATAACCATTTGACATTTTTAAAGTGCCAAAATATTGGTTTGTTAATATTATATGTGACTATTTGCTGTTTGCCATTTTCTATGATAGAAAAGTGAACATCTTTGGGTTTTGGACTGTTACAAGATGGGAATGTCTTCTTTGCAAGACTACGATGAACATTTTTTTTTACTATTTTCTGATATTTTCTATGATTTAAATGATAACCGTTTAAAAAAAGAAAATTAAAAATTATTGGCAGATTACTTGATAACAACAAAATCATTGGTTGTGTCCCTAAAGTCGCAGACATTCTGATAACTGTTTACACATTAAAATTATTTATGCAGAAAACCATCCTGAATGTGCACTGGTTTCAGCTTATGATAAGATTTCTGCTTTTTGTAGTTTTGTTTTATTATAAATTGAACCAGACCGTTACCCACCAATGAATGAAATGGCCTCTGGGAAAAACTGAGAGAGGTTTTGGCTCCAGTGATCAGAGATGGGGATCTGTTTGTACTTGAAATCGCCTTCGTGTTCGAACATGTTGGGCAGGTTGGGCGTCACGTTGAGGATGTATTTGATGTTATACTTGCTGAGCACATCCAGGTTGGTGGAGTCTTTGGCACAACCCAGGTAAAGATATGGAAGGATCTGGACGGGAAACGCTGGCTGGGTGCTTGGTAGCGGGCTACCCTCCGACTCTGTGGCACTTCCTGGCTCTCGGTCAGATTCCCCATCCGAGCAGTCTGAGCTTATACGGAGTCCTCCCAGACCGAGGACAGAGGCCGGTGGGGAGCTGCTGGGGCAGGAGCAGTCCAAGTTGGTCTCACAGTGCTCGGGGTACTCTGACTGGAACTTGTTGAAGCCCCCTGGAAGACAAAGAAAATGCCAAACAAAAAAAGGGTCAATATTAGGATAAAGCCAAGAAAACTGAATCCTGAAGATAAACATCCACAGGCAGGTCATTGTGTGTGCGGCAAAATGTGTTGTTCAGCATCTGTAAAGTCTGGATCACGAACATGAATGACAACAACTTAACATGGTGTATTTTTAAACCACTGTCAATGCATTAGAAACAAAAGAGGAGGGGGAAAATTCTATAAAAAAATGATGATACCGGTGATAAATAATAAGCAAAAAACTGGGTTTAAAAACTACTGAACAGACATTGCACTACAGTAAATTAGCTTTCTAATTACACTAGCCTATATGTTAGCCAGGTAGATGTACAGTAGGACCACCCAATGAAATCAATGAACACAACAGTTTCATTCACACCAGTTAACTCACATAAAGATTATTACATCACAAGCAGCGATGACTTGCTGTTTAAATCATCACATGGGCTTATAGCTAAAAGAAAGAGTAAGCTTTTTTTTTTGAAAATGCAGTTAATGTACTATTAAAATCTTTTTATTTACCACTACATCACATATTGTACTGGTGTGACAGACAACATGAGAATAGCGTGATATTTACGTCAGTGTGAACAAGCAAAAGGACAGATGTGCTCCATTGAAAAAAGATGAGTCCCGGGGAGGGTCGGGATGGTCAATGGAGCAGGATGATCAATGGAGCAGGATGATCAGCGGAGCAGGATGATCAATGGAGCAGGATGATCAGCGGAGCAGGATGATCAGCTCTGCTCCGTGGGCTTTTTGTGAATGGCAGCTCGGCTTTTGGGACTCCACTCAAACATTTCTACGATTTTCCCCGTAAATTAGACACATCCATATCTTTTAATATTACCTTATTTTATACATGTTCTGTCCGGTTTTAACGATAGCGTCCTCTTTTCGTGCTGGGGGTTTGTTGAGTGCCCTCCTCCCTGTTCATTCATGAAAAAAACGTCTTTTCCTGAAGGAACACAACATGGCGGGGCCATTTCTGCAGCATTTCATTTAAAACTTGGCCAAATAAAGATGATCCTATAAAAAAACGTAGCCTGCTTGGAGTTTTCTTTTGCCCATCTTATAATTTAAGCGATGCTGTCCTAGTAAAAATAAAAACGAAGACAATAACTTATCTCGGCCAAACATCAGAGTTCATTATGACTTGGCAGTGTCAGTGTATGATTTGTGACCAGGCCACCCTGGATTATAACTGTCAAAATAACACTGTTGTGCCATAACAGACAGATTTGTCGCTGCCAGTTTGAAAACAGAGACCTGGAAATCAAATCCAATAAAAACGCCCTGTAATCTCATTATCCCATGCAGGAACTTTAATGTTGTTTTAGCATTAAATGTTTACTGTGTGGCGAGAGAGGCACCAGCACCGTCTATTTGAGACCATCTCAGTTAATCAAATCATACTGATATTAAATGATTTCGCTTTCTGCTGGGTCGCACGTTGAGCCCAGTCAGCCTGAGTTCTTTTTTTGTTTTTTTGTTCTTAAGTAAAGGTCTTACAACACACAACCGGACCTGTTTCAAAACAAAAGGGTTTCTGCTCTTACCCTCCAGAAAGAAAGCCTTGCAGCCGTCGTCCCGCAGCTTCTGCAGGAGCAGCCCCAGCACGGAGCTCCCCAGTCCGGACTCCTGCCTCTCCGAGGTCGCCTCGTCGTACAGCACCACCACGTCCGTCTTGCACCGCTTGACAAATTTCTCCTTGTCCTCGTTGTTGGGGATGATGGAGCGGATGGGGAGGTTGCCCTTCTTCAGCCTCCGGAGCATGAGCCCCGGGATGGCCAGGTTGATGGCCGAATCGATGTGCGAGGACTCGTACAGCTCATGGGGTCTGCAGTCCAGCAGCAGCAGAGAGCCGAGCCCGGACTCCAGCTCCTCCTGCAGCCACTCCACGCTCTTACTCGACATCATCATCATAGTCACGATCACGGAGCCTCTCCGCAGATGATTAATTTTCATCAGGAAAACGTTAATCCGCCCGTCCCCTGCTGTGACATGAAAAACAACACAACAGAAAAGAGGAAAAATCACGGCGCTAAACTTCCCTTCACGCGGCCATCACCATCACCATCACCGCCGCCGCCACCGCTGCTTCTGCTCCTGCTCCTGCGGGCGCGCACATACACGCACCCAACGCACACTTCCACACACATCCAACACGCACGCACCGATGTCCCTCTGCCTGAAGCAGGGAACTTGAACATACAGAGGTTTCTTTCCCTCCTTCCTTCAGTCCGACTGAAGAAGTGGACCTTTCATTCCAGTCCATCGACGTCCATTTGGCGAGTCCGCTCCAAAATCTGTGGCGTCCGTAACTCAACAAAATTGCCCAAAATACGCCCAGTTAGTGTCTTAGGACGAGAGCTCCGAACGAGGTGCCGCTGTTAAAGCCCATAACTATTGTTGTCATTGGACATGCTGGCCCGCACAACGCCTCTGGCTTGTCAGGTCCAGTGAATGCGTTAAAGAGGCTCCGCATGCTTGTCATTGAGAGGAGGGAGGAGCGCAGAGATTTAAAGGTGCAGAACTGCTGAGGAGTCACACACGCTCCCACTTCATTGATAGCAGAATCTGACGCTGGGTAACTGCAAATGAATTAGAATGTTATGAAGGTACTGCACTGTGCTGCATTTAGAGCTTAGTGAGCCCACTTTATGCTTCTACTCCACTAGAACTTAGAGGAAGAAGTAGCTGCTTTTTAGTCTTCTACATTTATCTGACAGCTACATTATAGTAAATGCACCAAAGCTTATAACGCATGGTGCTTTTGTTATGAATTCATAATGGATGAAACAATCGATGCATCTGTTTGTTTTATACATTTTCATGCAAAAATGCCAAACAAAATGAGCTTCTTTTACTTTTAATATATTTTAATAATTGTAATGAAGTTTGAATCATTTTGAGGTTTGGACCATCAGGCTTTGTACAATTGTAATTTTTTATGAACATTTACAAATAATCAATGAATCAAATTAGTTACTTGATAATGACACTAATCCGTAATTAAAAGAATCATTAGTTAACTGTGGATAAACAGTAAATTAGCTCCACCTCAACCATTTAACAGTCAAGTGCCTTTACTTTTAAGCCCATGTCCTTGGTTATACTTGTATACTTTAAAACAGAAAAAACAACAAATCTTCACATGTGAGAAGCTGTATTCGGTGATTATTCAACATTTTGACTAGACAGACTACTGCAACCATTATCTAAAGGTTCTGACCATCAGACATATTGTAGACAAAACTGTTACACATACAGTATAAATGATTTTAAGCATAAAACATGAAAAAACAATGATTTTTTTGGAAATAGTTTTGTCATTTCTACCAGATGAAGTACAGTTTCTTGTCACTTAGTTTTATGTTAATCAATGAATCTACTAACTATTGCTAACCAGCTAACAGCTGTGTATAGTGTCCCTAACTCTGCAAATGACACTTACACTCTGCATGGTCTGAGCCATAAACTACTGATAACACAAACCCTGTGTCTACAGTGGCTGTGTGGTGCTGGTATACCTGCTGAGCTACAAAACCCATCACTGGATCATGACGTTTCACTATGAATGACTTAAAAAGGCATCAGCGGGTTGTGACAGAGGCAGAGAGGGGGAAAGAGAGGAGGGTCTGATTTGCTCACAGCTGCAGAGACGAGGAGTCGGGGATGCACCAGCTGCAGACAATGGCTCTTTATGCCACACACACACACACACACACACACACACACACACACACACACACACACACACATGCATTTCTACACACAAGTACACAGACACTCACAACCTTTAGGGCTCTTGTGTTTCAGCTCCCTTCATTAACAGGCTCTCTGAGAGGGTGTGCAGCCACTGGGTGTGTTTGTCTACAAACTGCTGTAGTAAACAAAACTATCATCATTTATTTTGAAACTGTGATGATTGAGGACTGAAACTTGATTCAAGATGAAGCTCTTTTGGAGTTTGCTGGAGGAATTTGAAGACTGAGTCACAGGATAAGCTTATAGCGTCTGACTGCACAATATCACTTGTTGTATGTTGAATGCATGGTGAATTGTAGAGCCACTGTATCAAATGAAACCAGTTTCAAGAAGACACACTTCAACAACTGGCATCATTCATTTGTACTTCTATACACAAAAAAATCCTTAAGAGCA